TTTCCTAATTTTTTCTTTTTTTTTACATTAGTACTTGTTCACTACTAATTATCTGTTTATCTTTTAATCACAGATGGAGTGAGGACAAATGTCCATACCACGCCACTGATAAAGAAGTGGAAAAATGCATTACAAGGTAGCTACAACTTGCCCCTGACAGGGATGGAGGAAGAAAGAAGAGAAAGCTAATGTGTCAAATGTCTACATCACTATTTTGTTTTATTTTTTAAACAACATTTTAACTGTATTAGGATGTTCCCTGATACTTGAACAATTTATTTCTTTAATTTGCATTTATATATATATATATGTATATGTATATATATATGTGTGTGTGTGTGTGTGTGTATATATGTATGGTATGTGTATGTATGTGTGCGCGCCAAATTCTGAAGAAACATCTTGATACATTTTTAATAAATGTAATACAAATAAAATTATAAATATAAAATTGCACAAGACGTGTATATATATGAAATGTATAATCATCTCACTCATGTCTTGCTGTTTGTGCAATTGATTTTGTTCAAGTTTATTTAAAAAAAAAAGTTTGACTTTATACTTCTGCAATTATATATATATATATATATATATATATATATATATATATATATATATATATATATATATATATATATTTGTTTATTATTATTTTAATGTTTTATTAAAAAATGTTTCAAGATGTTTCTTCAGAATTCTGCAGTACTTTTTACAAGTTTGTCTTGGATATTTTACGGATTGTCATTGGTATTTTTAAGATGTTTCTTGCTATATCTTAAATTGGTTTCTATATTTAGGTTTATATAAAATTTAGCTGTTTTTTACATATTTTTAATTGAAGTCTGTTGGGAAAACAGGGTTGTTTTTAAAAAACATCTGTGTTTGTGTGTAATTTTTAGATTTTATGTTTAAATCTTTCTGTGTCTTTATTGTGTTTTATTGTTGTTTTTATATTGATATTCTTGTGCACTACAAAATTATTTATAACATTTTAGTACTATTTTTTTCATGCAATCAATAAACGTTTAACATTTATTTATTTTGTCATTTTTCTGATTATTTTCGTTACAGAATATGTGTGCAGTTTGCACTTTATTCAAAGGTTAAACGCAGTGCTTACACTTTGTGTTTACATTATAGCCTGTGTTTGCTGTTATATAAATTCAAATGGTTGTAATACCATATATCAAGTACCAATGTAATACCAAAAGGTTTTATAAGGTGTATAAATACGGAGTCGCGCCAGCTCAGGGCCGCAGCGCACATTACGCTCGCGCCGATTCCGGCGCGGATGCGCAGCTTCGGCTCGCTTACGGCCGCCGCATCTGGCCCGCTTGATTCGGGCCGGAATCGGGCAGTGAGTCCACAGGCATCCGGCCCGAGTCCGGCAGCCGAAGTTGGGCCGAGGGGTTAGTCTCCGGCAGGCGACAATCTTGCCGGAACTGGCCCGAGTGTATTTTGCTATCTGGGTGTCTTTATAGCAATGTGCGTGCAGTAGATCGCTCAGATTACATTGGGAAAACAGGCGACCGCTGCAAATTGTGCTTTAATGTTTAGCTGGTCAACTGTATGGTATGGAAATCTTACATACCTATCTGAAGATGAATTTGCATGCGTGAATCAGAAACATTTCCATTCAATAAATGTGCAAGTAAAATATGATGCTTATTGATATGAACTTATTAATGATTCCTACTTGTCTTTCTCGTGATAAATAGTTGACAAAATCTGATATGTAGCGGGGGAAAAAACAAGAGAGAGTTCATCAGACGCTGGATTCGAGCCGAGTTCATGCTCGAACGTATCAATTCCTGAACAAATGGGTCTTACAAGTAGCGCCACTGTGACTGATAATCATCCTGCAACATTTTACAGATATAAACCACAATATTTCTTTTTTCAATGCACTCAGTGCGATGTTCAGACCCAACTGTGTTAACCGCATCAGCTAAACTCTCCCGCTCTATTTATTTCTTTTATTGTTAATTCCGGAGAACAAACTTGCAAATAACACCGCTTTTCTCCGGTCTACCTCTGAATGCACCTCCAATTCACATTCTGTTCAAAGTTTCTCTTTTTGCTTGCTTTTGCCATTGCTTTTTCGTTGGGTTTTTCCATTAGCATAGTCATTAGCATATTCATACGGGGGAGGAGTCAGGGAGGGGTTTTGTGCTCGTGCATGTTGCGCTCAGTTTCACGTTCATTCAGATGTACAAAAGAATATGCGTGAGATTCGGCGTACGCAGTGTTTCATACATCTGAAATTTTTTCTGCGTACGCACATTTACAGCTTTGTGCGTACGCAATGTTTTAGTAAGATTTCCACGCAAGTCTTCGTACATGAGGCCCCTGGCTGCCAGTGCCAAGCTCAACTGTGAAATCCTACGTTGATGACTGGGTGAGACGTGTCCGGCGGACCCACGACACGCAGTATTTAGCCATTCATGATGGGTAGTATGTGTTTGTTTCCATGATCCATGGGGTTTGTTGCATGTTTTTTCCCGCGATCCTGTCTGGGCCAATACAGCAAAGTTGTGTGTGCTGCAAGCATTTTTGTCCTAAGAGCAGTAAGAGAATTGGAGAATGGCGGACATTGTCTTTTATCAGGAGTTCGTTCACATTTAGACACATCGCCGTGCTGCTGTTTGCCTAAATCCTCCAGGTTACCAGCAGGGCTAATGGTTAAAATAGACAGGGCAAGAGACCTGCTGCACTGAGTCTGCATTCAGACCCGGTGACTGAGGGAAAAGTCCTCACTTAATGTTTATATGAACACGATTATCTGTATAATGATATAAATTGTGGTGGTGTGTAAATAAAACACCAAATGTAGCAGGGCTTAAATTACTGTTCATTTCTTTGCATTTTAACTTTGTAAACTATAAATCATGGGTCTCCGCATGGTTTGTGTTTCATTTTGTGAACCGACTGACAACAGTTGCTCGCTCCCTTCCTTCTCCCCTGCTCTGCAGGCCATGCCCACTCCTGCCCTTTGCTCGCGGAGCTCCACGCCCACTATGATGCATCTTTTGAAACAATTCTGAGGTGGACCTGAACCGAAAGTGGGGTTTGTCATGGCCCTTTAAAATATGGCAGTGGTAGCAATTACAATGGCCTTTCATCTAATTTTACGCTTGAAAAACTAAATGAAGCTTAAGTCTATTTAACTGAATATATTACATTACAACATCGATGCAGTAAAAACAAAAGTAAAACTAGCTGTGCACAGAGCCCATTTCACAAAGATAAAACTACTTTAGAAAAGTATATTTTTTGTTGTTGTAAGTTTTAAAGGGCACTAATGATGTAAATTAACTTTTGTAAGCTGTTTGGACAGAACTGTGTGTATAGTGTGTCCACAGTCATATTGGAGTGAAATAAACACATTAAGTCTTTTTTATTTCCTGATGTTAAATTAGTATCAAAATCTCAGTGATTTTAAGGCCTACCGCAACGTGACGTAGGAGTAACATGTATACATGTCCACAGAACTTTTTTTTTTTTTGCGTAGAAACTGGGATTAAAAATATCTGTTTTAACTCTCTGTGCATTTTATAACCGAGCACATTTGTAATAAAGACAGTAAAATTGCTATGTAATTCTTGATGTAATCACCACAGCCACATCGTATCAATAAACGCGCATATATATTTCTGTGTGTAATGCAAACGGCATTTGTGTGTGACTCATCATCTCAGAAAGGCTTGAATAAACTCCACCACAAATTTCAGCTTCATCCGTGTCTGTCTCTATCACTGACTGCTGTTTGTCTGCTGTATCCAAAGACTGTAAAAGATATGGATGTAGTATCCTTGACGTCACCCATAGGTTTTTGAAGAATGCAAAAGAAGCTGCAAGTAGTCATTGCCAACCATCGCCATTTTGTTCACGCATCATCGCACCGACCAGGGATAACAAACAAGGGCTAAGAGGCGGAGCGTGAGTGAATCTACAGACCTGCTAGCATTTTGCTTAGACAGGCTTTGGGAGAAACGCCTAATACTTCATTACCTGCTTCTCAATTGTGTTCTGACCACATGTGCTTGGTTGTGTTTTATATCAATAAAGTGTTTAGACTTAACACTGTTGTAATACATTAGCGTCAAAACATTGGTCTTATGACGTTTTTCTACAAGAGGAAAATGCGTGCCATATCATCTGATAATTGTAAGACATAATAATAAAAAAATGGACCGTGTAAAGTCACATAAAAAAAAAAAAAGATTCAATGTATATGCCAAGTTCAGCGGCTAATCAGCCGGAATCAGCTGAGGTGAAGTGTCGGCAGCCAGTGAGACCTAGCTGTCACTCAAGTGTCCCCGCCCTTTATTTTGCAGACTTAATATAACCTAATATAAACAAAACTAAAAAAAAAATCTAAAAAAATAAAAAAATAAAAAACAGCTACACTGTATTCAGACAGCAAAATGGGCAGATTTTGGAAGCTATAATAAATAATTTGATGGATATTTTATGCTGAAAATTTAAAGACTCATTCTGGAGACACCAAAGGCTTATCTTACATTTTGTAAAAGAGATAAAATGGGTGCCCTTTAAATTAGATTTTAGTTAATGCACAATATTATTTTAAAAACAGTTTAAAACAGCCTTATGTTTCTAGCAATTTCATTGCCTTTTTCAGTTTTTAATTTGTAATTTGAATATTATTTATATAAAATTTTTTAGTAATTGTAATTTGAGTTTTCGTTTTTTAGTCAATCCATTTTAACTTAATAAGAAATATTTCTATAAATGCATTTAAATGTATTTTAATTAAGTAATGTAAAATTAATTTCAAGCTGTATAGTTTAATCTGAATGGCCTTAATTGTTATTAACTGTAACTGTGATATTATGGATATGAGATGTAAACAGTGAAATCACGTGATGCACATTAATGTGTCTCTCAGGATGCAGAGGGTGTGTGTGTGTTTGTGTGTGTGTGTGTGTGTGTGTGAGAGAGAGAGAGAGCATCATTTGTCCAGCAGCAGCGGCAGAAGCAGGAATGGCTCGACGGTGCAGTAATCCTCTACTGTATCTCTTCAACTACACTACAGTCAGATATGTGGTCACTCAGAATAAAATAGTTGGACTTTTATACAGATTCTTTCAACTCATCATCATGTGCTATCTGATTGGGTAAGAGTCATCATTACTTCGTTTAGCTGAACTTTAATGATATCTATGAAAGAATTTCGTTGTTCTTATGGTTTGACTGAACACGTTTATTCTGAACAGGTGGGTGTTTGTGACAAAGAAAGGATACCAAGTCGTGGATGACACTATCGAGAGCTCTGTGGTAACTAAAGTTAAAGGAATCGCGCGTGTCAATACAACCTTTTCAGATCTATGGGGACCAGAGGAATACGTTATACCAGACCATGTAAGTCATAAACCACAATGGAGTCAGAGTTAGTCCGGATATTTAATGATTTGCTTCGTGAATTTGCTTTATTTATCAAATGTTTTGGTTAATTTCCATTTCAGGGTGGGAAGTTTCTTTTTGTAGTAACCAACTTCATTGAAACACCAAACCAAACATTAACCACATGTCCAGAGGTAAGGCTGAACTCTGTTATTATCATTTATCAAAACATTTGATTGAGTCATTTTTAAACAAATTTCTATTTTCTGAAATACATTCACTTTAAAGTATTTGCTTTCAGTTACTGCAAATGTTAAGCCAATTTGTACATTATAGCTCCCTTCAGGCCATTAAGAGCACTGTGGTATTATATGCATGTATATGTATATCACCGCTGATGTACAGTGCAGAATACTTAAAAAAAAACACTACATGGCTTTTACCATCCCATTAATAAGGATTACTGATTGATTTTGTTGATGGCTGGTTTGACAACGTCAATTTCCATGCTACCATTTCCTATGTTATCAGTCTCAAGGGACATTCCTGCTTTTAAATGTGTGCCTAACAATTGCATGATATAAGGGTGTTCACATTGTCCATTTCACTCTGCTATATTCTTATTGTTTTCCTAAATACACAAGATGGATATGTTTGACTGATGAACTGGTGTCTTGTGTTGTTTACAGTGTCTCAATGACGCAGAATTGGATTCTGTCAGTGCAAATGGAGCTTTATGCTGGTTTAGACTATTTTAAGTTCTTGTCGAGTTTAACGAGATACATTAATTGGACTGAAACAGTACAGCCAAAATGATTGACTGCTTTTATAAAAAAAAAAACAGATAAATTTAAACAGGAAAATGTTGTGATGCAAAAATGACCTCAGAGCCAGGAAGAATAATTCATCACCGAATCATTCAAGATTTTCCCATGGGTTCTTAGTAGAAATAGAATAACATAAATCATTTATTCATTTGACTTCGGCTTAGTCCCTTTATTAATCTGGGGTCGCTACAGCGGAATGAACCGCCAACTTAACAAGCAAATGTTTTACACAGCGGATGCCATTCCAGCTGCAACCCAGAACTGGAAAACATCCATATACACTCATTCACACACACAAATACACTACGCCAATTTAATTTAATCAGTTCACCTGTAGTGCATGTGTTTGGGCTGTGAGTGAAACCGGAGAGAACATGCAAACTCTACCACAGAAATGGCAACTGACTCAAACCAGTAACCTTTTTGCTGTGAGGCAACAGTGCTAACCACTGAGCCACTGTGTCGCCAGAAATAGAAAAACAGGAAATAAAAAATAACAATACAATCGAAACCTCACATCATCGGTAAATATAACTTTTTTTTTAAAACTGCTTATCTTCTGTTAGGTAATAAGTAAATATTAATGCCTTTTGTCATTCATTTACATCTTAAGATAAACTCAAAACACAAATATATCAAAACTCCTGTTTAATTATGAACATTTTAATAATTCTAATTTAATATCTGATTATACATATTTTTTTATTTAGACTTTTACCTGCACTGTAAAACGTTGACTCAATTAAATTTGTAAGACAACATGTTAGGCAAATTGACTTTTAAGCCAAATCGAGTGCAGTATTTGGGTTAAAAGCTGAGTCAGCTCAAAAACAGATGTGCAGCAAGTTGCCTTACAATTTTAAGTTGAGTAAACAACTTTTTATCGTGCAGATAGAATCAAATTATGTTTACCATACAAAAAATGAATTATAAAAAAAAATCTAATCAAATATTAGGTTAGAATCTAAGGCCTTTAGAGGCTACACGGTGGCTCAGTAACGCACAGGGACCTCACAGCAAGAACAATGCTGGTTCGCATCCCGGCTGGGTCAGTTGCCAATTCTGTGTGGACTGTATGTTCTCCCCTTGTTCGCATGGTTTTTCTCTGGTTGCTCCGGTTTCTCCTAGTCCAAAGACATGCGCTACAGGTGAATTGAATAAACTTAAATTGGCCGTAGTGAGACGACGCAGTGGCGCAGTAGGTAGTGCTGTCGCCTCACAGCAAGAAGGTTGCTGGGTCGCAGGTTCGAGCCTCGGCTGGGTCAGTTGGTGTTTCTGTGTGGAGTTTGCATGTTCTCCCTGCTTTCGTGTGGGTTTCCTCTGGGTGCTCCGGTTTCCCCCACAGTCCAAAGACATGCGGTACAGGTGAATTGGGTAGGCTAAATTCTCTGTAGTGTATGAGTATGTGTGTGTGAATGTTTCACAGAGATGGGTTGCGGCTGAAAGGGCACCCGCTGCGTAAATCATCTGAAATCATCTTTAATGAAAGCCAAGTATGGATGTCAAACCAAAATTTAAAAGTAAATTCACAAGAAAAAAAAAAAAGTGATTGAGTGTGTCTGGAAAATTTGAACGAAACCGCTATGGATTGAGAGCCCTTATCTGATGATGTCAGTTTGTTGGCTTGAATAGCATTTTTAGCCACGCCTCTACAATCGTTAGTTTGCTGCAAGTGAAAGATAAGAGGAGGGGCAAAAATAAAACCCTGCCCCTACTCAATATCCTCCTGAGACCCCGCCCATTGACTTGTGTTCTCTGAAGTGGACATTGCATTTTCATGAATTTTCATTGAATTTTTTGAGCTACTTTGTCAAGTCCTGTTGTACTGTTCAAATGACATCCTGGGCTTACTAGTGATATGTCATTTAATGGGCTGCCATGCTAGGAACCAGTTCCTGTACTGCATCCAAAAAGGGCGACAATGCGACATACAAAACAGCACATTATATGGGAAGGGGAGAGGTATGTAAAATGTAGCTTTTAAAATGATTTTTTACTATTATTACTAAATATATATTTGTTTATTAAAGTGTCAGGAACAGTACATTTAGCTTTCAAAGCTGTTACCTTTTGTGTTTCAAAATATCATCCTTTTTTAAATGTCCTCAGAGGTCGTGTTAGACTTTCTCATTGTCCGTCATTTTGAACGGAGAGGGTTGTAAAAATTCCGTCATAACCTATTGTTGTATTATTGATCGTTATTTAGTTTGCAGATTTTCTAATCGCTTTTTTCATTCATATTTTAATAATGAACTTGCACGACGAGCATAGAGGCTAAATTATTCATTTATTTATTTGGCTAATGAACAAAAACTCTTATCTGCCTTAACTCATATCTTCTTCCTGCGTCGACTTGAACTGGGTGTTTGCATGTGTGTAATCAAACGCATCAAGGGAGACTGATACAGAGGCAGTTGTCATTAAATTCTGTGTCTTTGCCTCTGAGATTTGACTTCTCGTGACCAAACACCGGAATTAGCAACTCTTCAGTCAGCGTTTTGTAGTTAGGACACATTTCTCCTAAGGCTGTGTTCAGAACAAAGTTTGCTGGATTCTCTAAATGTGGCATTTCCCGATCCTGCAAACACTTGTTTCACCAGAAAAAAATACTACAGCACGCGCTCCTTCTGCACCCCTCTGCATTCGGTAGTGCTCACAACGCACTTCAAAGCACCTGACCTCCTCGCTGCAGTTTAGTTGGCTTGTAACATCTGTCGGCAACTGAGGATTTTTGTCTGTTTGTTCTTTATAGTCCACTGCATCACTTCCTCCTTTTTACCTTTATTATTAACATCACAACTATTTGGTCGTTTAAAGAAACTTCTCACTCAGCTGCAACTGTACGCATCGGTGACAAAGGGACAATCGCCATCAGCTGGACAGGAGTGGAATTACAGTTAGCCACAAATTACGTTAGATCACCCTTAGCATATTCCAGCAAAATGACGGATCACCTTCAGATGTTTCCATCACTGCTGAAAAAAAATCCGTCAATATAAAAATATTTTGTTAACGTAACCTCTGTGTCCACTATAGTGTACACCAGGACCATCTTAATGTAATTAATGTCTGCATGTTTTAGGGGGCAGAACTGAAGCAGAGAGGATTCTTTATAAAAAAAAAGTTGAGGGAGACTCTGATTTAGAGTCTGACAATCAGATAATTAGAGAATTAAAGACAATTAGAAAATGACAAGTTTTAAATATTTTTTTTGTGTGTGTTGAGTTTGTTTTTACAAACTCAACAACATCATGTGCAATAACATCACTTCTTTTTTTTTTTTTTTTGAGTTCAGCTCTCTTTCAGACTAAACTGTTTCAGGATTTTAAATACAAAAGGAAAAAATGCCTCTTGTTTTTTTTTTTTTACATTAATATTGTATTAATATCCCTTTACAGCCATATCCTGTACAGTTTTGTTGTCTTAGTTTGGCAGTTGTTTCGAACTAAAATGGTCCTGTGGAACACTACAGTGGACATGCTGTAAAATTAAAAATAAAAACTAAATGTAAAAAAACTAAATTGTAGAATTTTTAACCCAAAGGATGTAGAAAATCACAGAGAAAAAAAGAAAAAAAACTTTTTTCGGTCTCAGGAGGATATTCCATTTCAGTTGGAAGTACTTTATTATACTAAAATGGAGCATTGAGTAGGGGGCGGGGTTTTATTTTTCGCCCCTTCTCTCATCTTTCACTCCATTTCAGTTGGAAATATGTCATTATATTGAAATGAACAGTGGTCTGTCTTGTTTTAGAGCCCCTCTGTACCGTTTAGCACATGCACCCATGACGACAATTGCACAGAAGGAGAGGCTGTTAGGGCTGGAAATGGTATGAATTTAAACTGATTTTTCAGTCTAGCTCACATAATAAAGCCATGCTCCATGGAATGTTTTCCATCCATATATGTTGTGTATTAAATATGTCAAAACATATTAATTCTCTCCCGAATACTTAGGAATTAAAACCGGCACCTGTAGGAAAACAGATGGGAATGAAACCAACACATGTGAAATATATGGCTGGTGTCCCACTGAAAAGTCCTCGCGGCCAGAGTAAGAAAGTTTTCTCTCACTTTTTAAAATTCACTTCCAATGCTATACCCAGAATAGGATAATAATAAAATGAGATAAAGTACAAAATGATAAAAGAAAAACCCTAAATGCTGTGAAATGTTTTAGGGCCGCAACTATGTTGAGAGAAGCTGAAAACTTTACTGTGTACATAAGGAACTTCATTAAATTTTCCCAGTTCAACCTCTCCAAGTAAGATAATCAGTGTGCTTTAAATATAAAAACCCTTGACTGAATAAAACAGTTGATTAACTATTATCAATAAATGATCTCAAATGTTATTTTGTTCCTCTCAGAACAAATATTCTAAAGGAAGGTTATCCGTCGTATATAAAAACCTGTTTGCATGACGAAATTCATCACCCATATTGTCCTGTATTTCGGCTGGGAGATATTGTGAGCAAAGCTGGATATAGGTTTGAAGAAGTGGCAGCAAAGGTGAGAAATTCGAGTGGATTTAATGTGTGGTGGAAGTACTAAACTTAATTTGATGTGCTTATTATGCTACATGTTATATTTATTTTTAATTCCAGGGTGGTTCAATTGGGATTGTGATTAAGTGGTCATGTGACTTTGATATGGATACTTCAGACTGTCATCCTCAGTACAGCTTTATGGCAATGGGGAGCAGCACGCCAGTCACAGCTGGATATAACTTCAGGTATTCACATGCTGATCAAAATTGTTCTCAGAGTTTTGATAATGACTTTTCAACAGACCAATATTAGAAGACAGATTATGCACACTTGATTGCTTCAGAAACAATGTAATGCTCATTGTCCAACATCTGCAGAAGTTTTAATTGTGGTTATACCATGTTACCCTTTAAAATTAGTCAACAACTATAGAACCTTTTTACAAGACTGTTATGACACATTTTACAGTCATCATAATCCTAAATCCTTGAAAGTTTTTAAAATTTAGATTTTTTAAAATGTATGAATATTTATATGCATTTATAAATGTGTTATATCATGTTTGCGCCCAATTACAAAAAATAATTACTGCTTATGTAAGGTGTTTCTAATGTAGCGTCTATGGGGCTGAGAGTAAATTTGAGGTTATTCTCTTCTCTGGCTCCCGTCATCAGTCTCACACAATTTTTTTTTCCATTTTCTGAAAGTCTTTATAACACCATCAAGCAGTTTTTCTTTTATTAGTTCAGCAAACAGAGTTGTAAAAATTTTTTACTGCGCTCTAAGTTTACCCATCTATGATGCCTTCAGCTACCTTCAGTACCTCGTAAATGTGAAAAGAGTCTATGATTGTGACATATAAAAAAATTTAAAGAAATATATAGATTACAACAAAAATTTCAGATATGTTTAAATCTCCATCAAAAGGAGTTCTTATGTTGAATATCTCTAATATCTTCTCAGATTTGCTCGCTATTCCAGTGATGCTGCAGGAAGGACGCACAGAAATCTTTACAAGGTGTATGGATTCCAATTGAATGTCATGGTGTTCGGAACGGTATGTTGTCCAAATACCACTGTTTTTATTAGGTACACCTTTCTAGAATCACAGCGGCCTTCAGAAGTGCCTAAACAAGGTGCTGGAAATATTCCTTGGAGATTTTTTTCCATATTGATATTATTTGGCATCACATATACACTCTAAAAAGCAATTAGTTGCTTAAAAAAAGTGAGTAAATCTATTGCCTTAAAAGCGACAAGTTGAGTTTACTTAAAAACATGAGTACCTTGTAATTTGAAACATTTAAGTTGACTAAACTTTATTTTATTGTAGTTTTACCTAAAAAATTAAAGGCAAAGGGTGGCATGGTGGCTCAGTTGTTAGCGCTGTCGCCTCACAGAAGGAAGATCACTGGTTTGAGTCCCGGTTGGGCCAGTTGGCATTTTTGTGTGGAGTACTGGATTGCGGCTGGAAGTGCATCCGTTGCGTCACGTGAAACACATGCTGGCTGTTTATTTTATTGTGGTGACCTCTGAAATACAAACTAAGCCGAAGGAAAATTAATGAATGAGTGAAATTTAAGGCAAGGGTTTATTCACTTTTTTAGGCGAAGCCAACAAATCGCTTTATACTGTACATGGTTAAACAGTAACTAAAGATACTATACCAGACCTGATTGGGGCAAGTGTATCTGTCTGTGGACTGCAAGACAGGGGCTTAACATAAAAGGCGCGTAACTTATAGTAGAGGCGTAACTAGCAGTAAAGGGATAACTTGCAGTTATTGAGATCCTATTGAACCATGCGAGATGTCACAACGAGATGTTGTTGGCATTAGAAAGTAATAACTGTGATGATTGGGTCTAGGGTTGGAGAAGGTGTAGACGTTAGTAACTGTGATTGTTAGGTTTAGGGTTGGGGAACGTGTAGATGGTAATAACTGTGATGGTTGGGTTTAGGTGTGGAGTAGGTGTAGATGTCAATAACTGGCGTTGGCTTTAGGGTTGGGAAAGGTATAGATGTTAATAACTGTGCTGTGATGGTTGGGTTTACTCGTGGAGTAGGTACAGACGTTAATAACTTTGACAGTTGGGCTTAGTGTTGGGGAAGGTGTAGATGGTAATAACTGTGATGGTTAGGTTTAGGTGTGGAGTAGATGTAGATGTCATTACTGTGATGTTGGATTTAGGATTGGGAAATATGTAGACATTGATATCTGTGATGGTTGGGTTTGGGTGTGAGGTAGACGTTAATAATCGTGACTAGGGATGCACGATATATCGGAGGCCATATCGTTTTCGGCCGATAAATGCTATTTTTAAGATTATCGTTATCGATCCGATGTCTAAATTAGGCTGATATCTTTAAGCCGATAAATTACGTAATTGTTGCTGCGCACGCGTGGGCGGAACATGTTCAGACTTATTCATGAATCTCTCCTCACACTGATTATTCCTTCAAAGTCCGTCCTTTCTTCACGTGGTATTGCTGTGCGTTAGTAACTCAGTAAGTAACCATTATGCTTATCATTGTAGATATGTTTGATTGAGTGTCATTGTGTATTTTGCTTCAAATCGCCTCATATGAATTATTACATACACTGTTAGACCTTACCAGGCTTTTTTACAGAAGAACACTGGCAACACTGTTTCCAGCTACTCACTGCAAAAGTTTGGTTACAGTAAGTACCTGGCAACAGTGTTGCCAGTTAATTACTGAAACTGAACCCTTACAGTGAGTGGCTGGCAACAGTGTTGCCAGTTGTTTACTGTAACTGAACCATTGCAGTGAGTAGCTGGCAACAGTGTTGCCAGTTAATTACTGTAATAGAGCAGTAGTGGTAACTAACTGGAAACTGTGCACAGTTAATTACTGTACTGTAGTGTTACAACTCACAGCATTATACTGCATACACAATAGTATGTCAAGGTGTTAATTAAATTAATTAGTATTCTTACCTGTTATTAATTATTTAAATTAAGTTGTAAATTCTGACAAATTTATTTTATTGTTTTGGCAGCAAACAAATACAAAACAGAAAATGTATAACAAAATTAAGAAATCAGCAGATATAAATATCATCTTACATATTACTGAGAGCCCCAGGTCTGCACAGAAAGGCTGCAGTCAAACTAACGTTTAAGCATGCAAAATTCTGTCACATGGCTCTGCGAAAAGGAGTGGGATTAAACAAAATATTTAGAGATTGAAAAAGCAAGCAACTGGTCCATAATTTTTGTTCAGAGAGGTCATGGTTTGATCTGTGATTAGTCTCAAGCAATCACATGATGTGATTTCGCAGTTCAGAGATCTCCCAAGCTTGAACTTTCCAATGCTGCAAACTGTAAAATTTGTCGCATGAGCTTGCATTCCAGGTCTGCAGCATTCACATGCGTATGACTGGAAGTCTAAAGGGAGAGAAGTGCAGTGTGACCGGGACTTTAAGCTGTAACTCTAATTAAACACACCTGATAAAACTAATTAAGGCTAGTTAGAAATCTACAGGTAATGTTGAAGAAGGGTGGGAACTAAACTCTGCTGCCCTGCAGTTCTCCAGTAACTTGGAGTTTGACCCCTGGAGATCTACGTTCCTGCAGATTTCAGTTGCTACCCATATCAAACACACCTGCCTGTAATTATCACGTGGTGTTCAGGTCCTAATTAATTGGTTTAGGTGTGTTTGATATGGATAGCAACTGAAATCTGCAGGAACGTAGATCTCCAGGAACAGGATTAAGCACGCCTGGTATATAGCATACTTTTAAAGCAACTGCTAACATTTATCACAATCACATATCCAATAAACACACACACACACACACAAAGTGCTGCAGTGAAATGTGTTACTCTCTCCTCAATGCTGACCATGCAAAAAAAAAAAAAAAAAAACTGAACAGCAAAAAACAAAATAATTATTTTAAATTTTAAAGTTTTAAATAATTAAAAGCTCTTTCAAATCTCAAAAAGTTTAAAATAATTATAGAAAACAAAAATAAAGTTGGCAACACCGAAAAACCAAAGGATCCAATCTTTTATTTTTATAATTATCTCATGACAACAAACTTTTTTATTGTTTCAAATATAAATTCATAGGTGGAAACACTGCTCTGAAAAATACTTAGCAACAAACTCACAACCTGGGACCGGACAGGGGAGCTTTTGTGTGTGGATGGCTATGTGTATCATGTTTTTGTGATTCCCTGTGATAATGTGCACATGTTCCCTTACTGAGATGATGGAATTTAATTTTGGCTTAGTTGCCAGAAAGATACATACAACTTTTAGCATCTGTACATTATGGCAGTATGCAATATCCAATAAATACATATACTTAAACAAAAGTAATGTAAGAAGTTATATGAGGAGAGGCTAACTAGCTAACAATGTAGCTTTCAAGTACACATTTCAAGATAACAACAATATAACTTAAAACACAGCCTTATTTTAGAAACCCTCAAAAACATTTGAACACATTTTACTTACTCATTATAGATTCTTATTTAAAGCCTAAAACATATCAGACTCTACATCTGAATTGATGGACAGAGAATAGAGCACACTCAGCAGTAAACAAATCAAACACCTGGCTCTCTTAAAGGGCCAGCATTTTCTGAAAACTCTTTCTAACACCTTTGTGTTTAGAATAAGACGGACAGCCTGTGGGAGTGTGTGGTGATGCCTAAATCATTGTTTTTTACAGTTATTTACTGCACAATCTACAGAGTAACAGTGCAGTTATACTAATTAAACACACCTGATCAAACTAAATCTAAAGGTAGTGTGTTGAAGCAGGGCTGGAACTAAATTCTATTAGGCTGTGGCCTTCCAGGAGTTTGACACCCCTGGTACATAGCATATTTTCAAAGCAACTGCCTACATTTATCACAGTTATGCACATATTGTTTAATAAAACAATAAAAATATGCTATAATATAAACTTCATCCATAGAATATAAATAAATAAATAATCTGATTCTCATGTCGTTCCAAATCTGTGGTAAAAATAATAAAAAACACAACAAATATCATGATTTATACATTTATTTAGGAAAGCCTTTATACTGTTAATGGCACTTTTACTTGCCAGTTTTCCTGACAAATTCTTGAGTCTCTGCAAAATTGTATGTGCGTGTTGTTTAAGATATATATATATATATATATATATATATATATATATATATATATATATATATATATATATATATATATATATATATAAAATACTAATATTCAGTTGAAAGTGCAATTACTTAACTATAAGTCAAACTAGGCAATTAGATTAGATTAATTATAGAAAAAGTAAACAAAGTTATAAAAATTATTGTGACAATTTCTTTGCTCTGTGTGAATATTTTTGCCTTTAAATGCATCTCGTCCATATCTTACACTTACCTTTTAATAAGCTCTGTGGCATTGGTTGACTCCTGATACTCCATGTTAAAAACATAAAAGGAACCAAAGAAAACACAGAGATAAAATAAATATAAAATAGCAACATAAAGCATCAGAATAGATGGGGCAGTAAAGGTTGAACAGTAATTTACCATTTATTATCACAGTAAATATCTGTAATGGTACATAGAGTAAATTACTGTAATTTATTCTTTGCACTACAGAATTTCATACAAATCCTGCTCCTTTTACAGTAAAATACTGTTTCTTTTCATTACAGCTAAACACTGGCTATTTTACAGTTATTTACTGCATAATCTACAGTAAGGGTTAACAGTGTATGAAAGCCTTTCCTGCTCTGTCTCTTTGTTGTGTTAAAGATAGCAGGGAGATTTACTTATTACTCCAGGGCCGAATAATATTAGTTTCGGGGTTAATTCTTTTAGTTGCAGCTAGGGCTGGGCGATTTAGCAAAAAAAAAAAAAAAAATCTAGGTTTTTTATAAAGTTTGACCGATTCACGATTTCGATTTTTTTTTTTATTGTGTCACTAGTCTTCTCAAAACATTACAACATGACTGAAGTAACATTCTCTTTATAAGTAACTTGAAAAACCATCTAGTTAAGGAACATTGTATTTTTAATGGCCATGTCATACAAAAATCAG